TTGGGGAACCGCGTTTCGCTTAGCGATGTTTCCTATGGCGATTTTCGCTTAAGGACGGCAATTCGTTCCTATTGGAACGGATCATCCGGTTTTCAATGCATTTCAACGGGAAACCGCGTTTAGCTTAGCGATGAAATCGCTTAGCAGAGATTTTTTCGGAACTAATTAACATCGCTAAGCGAGGCACCACTGTAGTTTCCACTATGTATCAGCTTCAAGTGTATGGACAGAGCTAAAGTAGGTGTCCAAGGTTATATTCTGTTTTCCTTAGAGGATGAAGAAATTTAGCACAACAATTTAGAAATTTAGTATAAAAGAGACATAGAGACAAGCATTCATATCCATTCGGAAAGAGAGATAGCTTGTTGACAATAAACATGGTTTAGGGTACATATAAACATCCACTTTCAATCACTGGAATGCCCATTGCAAGATTGTAAGGAACAGCTTCCAATGGAGATTTGAATCAACCAGAATGGATAAAAATCACTGATCAAATTGCTTTAAATCACAAGGCAAACTTAAAAATTGATTTTTAATTTAAATTACCAAAAATCAGATTTTTAAATTTTAAATTGTGATTTAGAGCAATTTGATTTAAATCAAATCCACCCTGGAACTAATTGGTACAGAAAACTCTTGTATATGATTGAAGTGATCCCCAGCACTTTCTCCTTCCCTCTTCTCCAGGAAGGTCTGGTAAACATTAGAAGACAGCATGAAGTCATCATGAGATTTTCCCCCAGCCCTGAAAATGGCAAACAGTGGAACCAAGTGGTTCCACAACACTGCATTTAGTGGCAATTCTGAACTTCATTCTTTTACCAGGCCAACTGGAAAATTGCAAGCAGATGCTATGTAACAGGATCATGTAGGATGTGGAAAGCAAAGAAGCACATGGCATAATCTTCTATTAACTAGGGCTATGACAGATATTGGGCTAAATTTAAAAATTGACTAAGTTACTTTTTTGGATTGCAGCTTCTAGAGTCACCTAGCTGGTTTGGTAATGCTGGCTAGGTGACTTTTTGAAGTTGAAATCCAAATGTATAAATCTAATGATGCATTCCTCTGCCACTCCTGGCAGCCCTTAACAGTCAGTCAAGCCAGTCAGTCAGTCAGCCTGTATTATACCATCACAGACCCAATAAAAAGTATTAAAAACAATTTAAAATAGCAATGCATAAAACAGCCCTAGCAGCCCTCAATAGTGATGTTATTCATATGCTGGATTAAACTGGGAAGACCTGGGTTCACATGACTAATTGAACCATGATATTGAAGGAGGTATAAGAGGCCAGACCTGATCTTCCATAGCATAGCATAATTGATTATAAGGACCAAATGGGAGTTACCGACATCCTTTTGCATGTATTCTGCCAAATGTGAACAACATTAACATATGTGGTACACAGCCTGCCATTTCATGTGGTGGTGAGGCTTTGAAAAAGACTATAGAGAAAAACGTGTTCTTCTAAGATATCTTAACTGTAAAGATCAGGCCACTTGGTATCTTTTAAAATAATGCAGAAAAGTCTCTTGAAAGATAAATGGCGCTATTTAAGATATTTCTAGTGCCTGAGAAACCAATAGCAACCAATTTTGTCTCAAATATGCTTTGTTACCACAAACTTGAAGAAGCCTCACAAACCGCAGTTCAATATGTGGCACTTAAAATCCTGAAATGGGACTGAGGGAGAATCCACATTCAAGGGCCCACTCAGCTAAGAATTTTCCTGCATGACCTTCTGCCAGTCACAACCTCTCAGCTTAACTTATATCATAGGTAAGGTGAGGCTTAATATGGGAGGTGGGATGAAGAACCGTGTAAACCACCCTACGCTGCTTGAGAAAAAGGCAAGCTAAAATTATAATTTAAAAAGTTTTGTATTTCTGTGTTATGTACCTTAGAGTTCATCAACTGGGAACAAGGGGTTGATATAGAGGAGCCTACAGTTTACTGAATTCAAAGGGATTGCTTCTGAGTAATTTCTCTCTCTCTCTCTCTCTCTCTCTCTCTCTCTCACACACACACACACACACACACACACACACACAAACACACACACACACACACGTCCATTTCCTGCTTGAAGCTTGGAAACACTATTGTAAAAGTCAACATCATAACACAATCTCAGTCATTATTCTGAGACAAAAAGTAAAGTGTTACCTTATTCGTTAATGCTGCATTAATAATGCATTGCTTTGGAAATGTTTTTCACTCATCGTTTAAAATAACAAATAGTAAAAAAAAAATGATTGTTGTGGGTTTTTTGGGCTCTTTGGCTGTGTTCTGAAGGTTATTTTTCCTAATGTTTTGCCAGTCTCTCTGGCTGGCAACTTCAGAGGACAGCACTCTGTGCCCTGGATGCCGTCCTCTGAAGATGCCAGCCACAGAGACTGGTGAAACGTTAGGAAGAACAACCTTCAGAACACGGCCAAAGAGCCCAAAAAACCCACAACAACCATTATATCCCGGCCATGAAAGCCTTCGCAAATACACTAAGAAAAAAAATTCTCCCCAAATGACCTCACCGGAACACTATCAAAAAGTATACTAAACAAAAACTACACTGTTAACAGGGCTGACATTGTGATGTTTAAAGTAATGTCACTAGTCCATCACTTAACAAATAACAAGCAACAGTACCAGTTTTAACGTTAGTTCCAAGCTCTATTCTTGCCACTGTATACAATGGAATGAAGGCACATAAACTCAAAAGTAAGAACATCACCTATTTCAACTTTCTGGAGAACATATTAGAGGGAATGACTGGACAATTGTATAAAATAATCATCTTAGAACTGCAAAGCTGGAAGAGACTATATGGATCATAGAGTCCAGCCCCTGTCAGGGAAGGACAATGTGGAATCCAAGTCCCAACCTCTGGCTCCTCAGCCAGAGATGTTAACCAGCAAGCTATCCAGCAGTTCTATATATGGCACATTCTGCCCCAAGCCCACTGTCATTGTTAAATGAAGAGGAATATTTTACTCTTACAAAACAGTATTAATACCCTCTCATATGTCAATCTTCAAGCCACTCTTACTCACAAATCAACACATTACTTACTTGTTATCATTAATAAATTCCAAGATCTCCTGTTCTAATTTTAGCAGCATCATCCTATCCCTGTTAAGAAAAAGCAAGGAGAAAAGAAGAACAGGCAGAATATATATATATACAACCAGAGAATAAATAACTACAAAGCTCTTTACAAAAATCTGCAAATTAATGCCCTCCACCACAAGTATTAAACTAAAAATTCAACAATAAATGCAACACTATCTGTCCTTCACTGACACTTGCAAAACAGATGTAACAAGTTAAAAGCAAAGACATTTTCTAGTTCAAGTAGATTCTTTTCTGCATAATGATTATGCTGTTAGGAGCATAATACCCTATGGGCTCTCGTGGAGCATATATTATTAAATGGAAAGAGAAATCAGAACTTAACCAACACCTGGCATTTCAGCTACCAAATTATCAGATAAGTAACAAGAGATGTCTTATACTGAGATTTTGAGAGGCTGTTATAGGGGTTTTACAGTACTGAGAGGGTGTTATCGGTGTTTTGCACCATTAAGGTTTCTTCCTAACAAAGTCATACCAATTATTTTTCCTTTCCTCCATCTTACAAGCTATATCTGAATGCATCTGTTTCGTTAGTCGACAATGCTAGACCTACTATAATCTTCACTTATAGATTTTCACGGTAGATTTAAAGTAGCAAGCTCCATGGGTGAACTCTATAAATTACATGTAGCAGAAGATTTTAAAAAACAAAAAATCTTCAATCAGACATACCACTGAGTAATTTGAGACAAAAGCGTTGAGCTTACGACCTATCTGATCTCCTACCTGTGCCCAAAATCAGTGAATGAGAAAGCCCACTGAAAAGGGCCAGGCTCAAGCAGGTTTCCAACAGAGTGCCCTCCGATGAACTTACACTGGTGAGGCCTGGGGGATTTAGCTGGCATTAGAAGCAGCTACACTCGCAACGGTGCCAGGCAGCTCAGTTTAGAAGCTGCCATCATAATGCATATTAAAAAAACGAATACGGTGGTTACCCAATCCAGCCAGCTAGTGCTGGCTAGAATCCTACCACACATGATTGAAAGATAGGGAGAAGGGATCAGGAGTAGAGCCTCCTGAGACTTGGCCCTCCAGCCTTAGCCCAACTGTGCTGGATGCTGAAATTAAACATGGGGGAATTGCAAGGCCCAGGGAATAAGAAAGTGATTACAGTGATGGCATCACTGCCTTTTTGCTCCAAAATTCTGTACAGCAAAAAACATACATGTACCAAATGGTTTATGAATAGCAAGAAAACTCAGAGTGCACATTATTCTCAACTCATGAGTTCAAAGCCTTCTTGATATCTGCCTGCCTGCCTTTCATTACAAATCTGTAACCAGTCCTGCCCTTAGCAGGCACATGATGGACTTCCCAGAATTCCAGCCTCTCTCCTGTCCTTACTTTCCCTTCACCATATAACCTTGCAAGAACACCCGCTATTCCCACTTGTAGATCAGCAGCACAAACATACTTGAACCTACCTTGGGTTCTTCTTCAGTGTATTTACTAAAAATTCATGCAAATCTATTCCAGTGGAGTCTGTGTATTCCTGGCTGGAATCTGTAATAAGAGAACAGCAGGAACCTCAAGAAATCTCCTCTTCACAGGAATAGTACCCAAAAAATGAAAACCAGGAAGAACAGTGAAGATCAGACCAGGTATTTTAAGGACTGCTGCCACCACCACCACTGTCATTATTGCCACCAAGCTTCTTTGGAATAAAGGATGCAGCTGGACATGTAACTCCAGCACAGCAAGTTTTAACTATGGATCCCCACGTGTTTTTCGGGCTACAATTCCCAACATATCCAACAACTCCTGTGTTGATGGGGGATGATGGAAGTTGCAGTCCAATATCTGGGTCAGACCCAAGACTGGGAACCATGGCCTAATATATGAAAGAGCAATAGGGTGAGCTGGAGACTAAGGATGCCATCCCAGAACATTTCATACAGGCTCAAACTCCTCTTTCTGTGAATGATATGTAATCTGTTTAATGTGACAGGACTTTCTGCCCTCCAAAAGGGCTGGAAAGACAAATTCTTGAAGGACTTTACGACAAATGCTGCTATGTGGAACTGGATACAAACCAGAAAGAAAAGGTTATGTAATTAAGGGCTTCTTTAACCAGACAAAGTGTGTGGTGATTCATTTGAGGATTATCGTCCCCGGATCCTGAGCAAAGAATTCCAGAACATTTCCAAGGATGCCTCAGTGATTCACATCTTTGTAAGTTCTAATATTAAATGACTCAAAAGACCTTTAGTAGCAAAGTGTGTGAGAAAGCACTTTGTAGTTACTCCTAGGCTGTGCAAGTCCCTGCTAAGGGAGGCAAAGGCAGCTTAACTTTTGTTGTTCCTCCATCAGCATTCTGACATTTTTATTCAGACTGACGTTTGGCTTTTAAAGACTCTTTGTCTTTGCTCAAGTATATTTTAACAAGTGGATTTGTATTATTTTCTGTGGGCATGGTTAATTTATCTGTTATGCTTTAACTAGAATGTTATATTTATATTATATTTTATCATTGTTAAACACCTTGAGTGCTATATGTACTGTAGTGAGAAAAGGAGGTATCAGTTCCAAAATAATAATTATGATGGGTGATCCACACATCCTTTCAATTCAACTATACTGAGGATCTTTAGTCTCTTCTTCTTCTTCTTCTTCTTCTTCTTCTTCTGCTGCTGCTGCTGCTGCTGCTGCTGCGACGACGATGACTACTACTTGTTGTTGATTTAACTACACAGCGTAACAGAATATTTCGGGGCCAATCAAAGCACAGTGTATTTTTAGAGTGGCCAAAAAATTTACATTACTGTTTATAGTGGTGCTTATCCCAGGATCATAAAAAAGCAAATCCTGATCTTTTAGCAGTTGCCAGCTCCACTGTGATTACTTTAATCTCTGACCCATCATACACATATGATAATATATCACAGGATGTAAATAAATAAATAAATAAATAAATAAATATATAAATATATAAATAAATATATAAATATATAAATAAATCAGAGTTGTCACATTAGGCCAGCTGGCTGGTTAAATTAGCTCTGTGCTTGCTCCAGCTCTGATAGCTACTTCCAAATATGAAAGAATAGTTCTATGGACCAGAAAACAATTTAAGAATGATAACAGTCATGTTCTCACATTTCCAGCCAGCACAGGGGGACTACGATACACACTTGTTTCTTTCCTCAGCTTCATTTATGTAGCGTTAATGATCGTACAAAAAGGAATGGGCCAACTCATGCATTGGAGAAGCTGGGTATGGCTATAGGGTGGCGAAATGTTCATTCCAATCATTGTTTAGGGCAGTGGTCCCCAAACCTTTCCCAACTGCGGACTGTTTTTGAGGGGGCGTGTTGCGCTTGCAGGGTCGTGCGTCGCACTCATGTGCACGTACGGGGGGGGCAAGAGATCTGTGTCTACTGCCTGGCCCTGCCTAGGCTGTGGACCACTGCCGGTTCGCGGACCAGGAGTTGGGGACCCCTGGTTTAGGGAGCCTGCCAACATATGATTGGTAAGCTATGGCACTGCTATTGCAATCCCAGCTTAGGAGAAGAATATGGAAAAGCTTCTGCCTTTAAGCCTTCAACAGCTGTTGCCAAACAAAGCAGCTAATATCGGGGTAAAGACTGACCTCCTGCCTTGTGGGAAGGAAGGTCTGTAACTTAACTCTTCTACTCCATTATGTTACAGTTCATCTTCTACACTCACTATAATGTTTGGCAGCTCCACTTTTTCTAGCCTTCATAGCTATTATCTTTTTTGAAAAGAACAAGAAAGATAGATGAAGCTAATGTATCCAACCAACTAAGTGACTCTCTGTGTTAAAAACAGCTGACATTACCTGACCTGCATGAAAAGCAACATTATACTTCCAGCCTCCAGAGAGTTAGAGAACTTCTCACCTGGGGACTATGCAATGTTATCACCTGGGAGCCACAGGATAGTCTCAAATTATAGTGCCATTGCAATGATTTCAAGAGCACTCACTCTAAGAGCAGCACCTGTAAGATGACTCATAAGGGCTGCAGGCATTCGATGCAGAAGCAAGAAAAGGTGCTACTTCTATGATTAAGAGAGAGAGAGAGAGTCAAAGGGATGCAAGAGACCAAAGTGAAAACCGAGGACGAAAAGGACCAGCGGGGGAGGAAACCTAGAAGAATCTGGTATGTAAGCTTTTATGAGTAAATTTACACTAGGTGTAAAGTCACCTTGGGTCCTTTTAAGGAGAAAGGCAGGGTAAAAATGAATGAATGAATGGAGCATCCCAGGTATGGATGTTGCCACAGAAAGACAGGATTATATGTTATGTATCTCAAGTCCTTATAACAGATGCAAGGACAAGGATTTATATCAGGCCAGACTGTTGACCCTCAGAGCCTAGTACTGTGTACTCTGACTAGCAGCAGCTCTTCAGGCTCTCAGGCAGAGTCTTTTAATTATGGTCGCATACTTTCAAATGGAGATGCATCTGGAGAAATGTGTTTAGGGCCCTTTGTATGCAAAGCAGGAGGCTCTACACTTGAACTATAAGCTTATCTCCAGGTCAATGAGCTAATGAGGAAGTACCCCAGCAATGGATTGCCCAAGCAAGTAGTTAGGTAAGTTTTTAGTATCTGTGTACAGCATACCTTTTCCAAGTTGCAGAAAAATAAAAATCTCAGCTAAAGCATCTAAAATGATCAATATTTCTCTCCCGTGCAATAAACTAATATTGTACCAAGATATTTTATATAACCTACAGGCAATGCAAACAATACTTCACATTCATCCTGTTCAGGACTCCTGGCTATTTCTGATGTCTCTTAAGATGAATGCAAAGAAAATGTGGGAATGATTATATACATGTTTTCTCTGGAAAAAAAATGTATTGCTTTCGTGAGATTTTTTTATTAAGATATATGTCTGTTCAGATAAACAGGAACCCTTATTCACAACATGCATCCTCAACATAGATCTGTATATCCGTGCTTTTAAAAACACACTGTCAGAAAGAGTGTTCAGGAACGATATGCCTTCTCCGCCCCACAAAAACATTTGTGTTATTGAAAGCTTGTGAATAATTGTTGGTTTGCTTATTCCTAAATGAGCTATACTGTAAAAATATGCTGCACAGAGCTCAAGGAATAACTGGGCAATGTGCATTAGAGGGATAATTGACTAATCTTAAGAGATGAAGAGACACTGGCCTTTCTTTCTCTTTTTTTTTCATGATGATACCATGTACAAAGAACAGGTCTAATCAAATGAAAGATGATCCTACCTCTAGATAACATTTTCTTGGGTGCTTTCTCTTTATTTTTTTCTTTATCTTCCTTTTCAGGGCCATCTCTTGTAGACTTGTCTTCTTCCTTGTCAGAGGGGCAGCTGATGTGCAACTGTATGATATCCTAGAGACAAAGCAAAAGCCATAGTCAATGTTTTATTATCAGCAGAAACTGCGAGAATGCTATGATCACTCAGTTTGGAGTGAGGGTCTGAATAGCTAGTGACCCTGTAAGATTGCTCTCCCTGCAGCATGTGGCTGCTGCTTGCGCAATTCATCTGGAGTGACGGCTCTTTACGCAACACGTTACCTTGGCTTATGGCACAATTAAATAAACAAGCCAAGTCAATTTGAAACACAGCATGGAAACAACATATTAGAAGTAATGTGCTGTTTCTATGCTGTAACATGTTGCTTTTGGGGATAAATAAGATATATTGCCATTATTTTTTACAAATAGTAACATTCTTAATCGGACATATATGTCACTTTCAAAATGTTCTTTGGGGTGGTGGACGCATACAAGAAGATTTAGTGACATCTTCCTATTTTTATTTTAAAATACATTATAAATTTTTTTAAAAATACTCATACAGGAATAAGTAACACATTTCCTTTTTAACATAGGGCTAGGAGGGCCTTATAATCCATTCTTTCCCTCCTGCATAAAAAAACCCAAAGCAAAGTAAAGCTGCTCCTCATATTAGTTAGCCAAATAGCAGACCTTCTTCAGACTGCATCTGACTAGAACCAATACATACATTCACAGATTCTGGAAGAAAGAATCTCTTCTAAAGCAGATAGATGAACACCTGTGTGAATTTTTACACTCCTATCCACTATGTGGGATAGTTCGGACTAACTTTACTATTTAGATGGTGCAAGCACCTCTTTTGCTTCTGCACTTTGATTAAACTGTGCTATAACCTGAGCAATGTGGGTTACAATGCACTCTGTGGATACAGCATACTGCTTTAAGACTGCAACCATAGTTCATGAATGGTGAAACAAGTATTTAGCTCCCCTATAATTTGCTAACTATAGACCTAAAACTAGAGTATCATAATCTTTATCTTATTCTTGACAGTTTTCCATGGACTCTACTCTTTCTTATTACGAACAGATACCAAACACACCGTGTTCAAGCAGAAGATCACAAAGCGATGGCCAAGGAATGTGTGCATATAGATACAGGGGCAGTAATTAAAAACTAGAGCTTGCTGTTCAGTATATCAGGGTGGATAAAAATCAATGTTCTTTTAAAAATCAAATTAATTTAAATAAGAATGTAAATTTTAAAAATGATTTTGATTTAAATAGTCAAAAAAATTTTTTAAAAAATCTGAACTGTGATTTCAATCAAATCCATCCTGATGTATGATACAGATGGATTTTGACTACTTTTTTTTCTTTGTATAGGTACAAGTAAATTTGGTTATAGATAAACTTTTAACCTTGATCTAAATCGGGAGGATGAATCATCACTGAAAACCATTTCTCTTCCCAGCTGGAAAAGTTGTTCAGTTGCAATATGGCTTACCTGAGTCTCTAATGGCCCATCCACAAAAGGACTAGAGGATTCCTCACATACAGCCAGGCTTCTGACTAGCTTCATCTTTGAATTTGACTGAAAAAACAAACACCTCTGTGGTAAGTTTCTTGTTCTTGATGAATTAGTTTTGATTTTTATTATTTCATCTTACTGTTTACTGTTTATTTTTATTGTTATATACTGTATTTGTTTAATTTTTTTGGTAACCGTCCAGAGTAGTGCCTTGCACTAATCAGGCTGTACAAAAGTTGAATGACTGAATGAATGAGAGGCAGACAACTAGACCTCTCTTTCATGCTTCTCACCTACTAGTCAACTACTGCTAATTCAATTAGCTCTACTGTCATTAGAAATCCAAAGTCTTTTTCTCCAGTGGCAACATGTGCTGAAGCAGAAAGGACCAATGATTTGCAGGTATATAGTCAAAAAAAGATTATCTCTTCTGATCTCCTAGACACAATTTGAATCTGTCACTTACAGAGTTGGGAAGTGTATAGTTAATCCTTTGCAATGCTTAGCTTCTGCTAAACTGGTATTGTAAACGTCCATTTACTTTTTTATGCTAAAATGTTTTGACTATTTTTCCCTGCAGCAATCAATCTGTTAAGTAATCTAACAAAAGCAACAAAAGGAGCATCCTTGTCAGAGTTTCCTAAGTATGAAGTACTTAGAAGTAGTTTCCCAGTCTCTTTTTCTGGTGGCACAGCAGAGCTTTGCAACTTGCCCAAGGCTGCGCAGACTGGTTGTTCTTCTGGGAGGCACAGTAAAGAATTAAACCTAGCTCCACACCCAGGTACTCAAACTCACTGAGCTACCCAGTCAGCTGCTAACTACTAAACAAACAACACTAAACAGTAAAACCAAACTTTAACTTATTCCTGCCTTAATGAAAAGCCTTCCATTCTGCAGCAGGTGCTTTATTCGCTTCACAGCCAAGCAGTTATTCTAGGTGCTTTCTTTCTTTCTTTCTTTCTTTCTTTCTTTCTTTCTTTCTTTCTTTCTATTTAACTTATATGCCGCCCACACTACCCGAAGGTCTCTGGGCGGCTTACAGCATTTAAAATACAATAAAAAGGCAAAATAAAAGGGCAAAATAATTAAAATGCAATTAAAATATATATTCTAAAAATTGCCATCAGACCCACATTTGATGTTATTTCAGTTAAAAGCCATTTGGAACAGGAAGGTTTTGACCTGGCGCTGAAATGTCAGTAAAATTTGAAAAAAGGTTTAAAATAAAGGTCAAGGACTGCTTGGTGAAATAATTTTTGGACGATGTTTGTATGTAGAGGTGGAGAGGAAAGAAGCGAAAGAGAAAGGGAAAACACACAAATATTTTAATTGGACAAGCACACTCAAAAATAGGATTCTGTGGTATTGTATAGGTTCTGTACAATATAACAGTGGAATGTTAAGAATGTAAGTGACAAGTGTTCAAGGGAGTCAACTTAGTGAAAAATAAAGCTGTATAGATATTTACTCTCAGAACCTTGGGACAAAAAGAGGCTAATACAGTGGTGCCTCGCTTGACGACGTTAATCCGTTCCAGCAAAATCGCTGTAGAGCGAAATCATCGTCAAGCGAAAGTAGAAAGCAGGTGCAGCTAACCCAGTTGTGTGCATTCACAGAGTCCACGCTGAAGGAGCATAAATATTTCTGTAATAGATAACAAAATAACAAAGGAAGTCAAATATTAAAAACAGCAGTGAAATCTAGAAGTATATACTACTTTGGCAAGCTGGGCCCATAAACCACTAATGGGCAAGTAAATGTTAGAACAAGGATCTCGGACTGAGTGAGTAGGAAGGGAAGTGTATGAGTTTCCAGACCAATGATGACAGTAGTTAGAAGGTGTGATCACATGGGGAAATAGATTGCTTGTGGAGAAATCCAATGCAATCTATTTCCTGGCAATCAGATGACATACAATCAGATGACCGACCCCAATCTGTGCCAAACTGGACCTTTTTAGTCCAGCTTTAGGGATGCTACTTTTCAGGGCCAGGCTGGAGTGATTCCCTGACATATGGAAGGGTAACTTAAAGGGAGATTGCTCCCTGCATAGTGACCCTTTCCAGTACTTTCAGATATGTGCCTTTCCCACTATCTGATCATACCAAGAGTTTTAAAAGCAGCTCCTGAAATATCAGCTCTGGTACACCAAGTTGTATAACCTAGGAAATAGAAAAAAAATCTTACCTTGGTTCTTTTCCTAGCATGACCATGATTGGATGTCCGCCTCTAAAAAAAAAAAAAAAAAGGAGAGAAGGAAGAAGCAATGGAAATCTACTCTACGCATTCTTAAGACCAATGGCAGGAAAATTGCAAATCTTCACCTAGACACCTCTGGTGGAACGTGCATCCCAAACATCAGCTAACTGCACAGAGATAATATTTTGCCACTCCTAAGGTTAAAGGACAGAATAAGTATAGGCAATGATTGAGAGAAGGCAGGCAGATAATAGCTCAGGGAGAACCCGCAAGCTACCACTTAATTGCTTGCCTGAAGGAATCTGCTGTTTCTCCATAGACAAGTGGCAAATTACATGGCTGTTGAAATTCTATGCTTATGCTAATGACATAATGATAACAACACCAAATTCACACTACCATCACTTCTATGCAACATCATTATCCTGAAAGAGTCTAACAAAAACAGACTCATTTTACAAACATGTTTTCATTTTCTATACAACTATAAATATAATCTGTGATGCAATTCTATTATGAACATCCAAACGTCAAATAAGCAAACTGCAACAAAACTAGAGGAACACAGTGTAGCCAAATCAAGTTTCATCAGCCATCTAAACTGAAATCTAAGTACAGTGGTGCCTCGCATAACGATGTTAATTGGTTCCATTAAAAACATCGTTATGTGAAAACATCGTTAAGCGAAACACCATTTCCCATAGGAATGCATTGAAAACCGGTTAATCCGTTCCAATAGGAGCCTATTCAATACATTTCAATGGTTAAAAAAAATCACCAAAAATTCAAAAAGACTCAGAATGAAGCCAAATTACTTTAACGAAGGTTTTATTAGGTGCACTAACGATTCCAAGCATTTTAAACATTTTTTAAACATTTTAGAATATTTTTAAAATAGCGAAAACAGGGCTGTCAAAACAAACGTTAAGCGAAACAAGGGACCTAAACTGTCATCGTTAAGTGAAGCAAGGTCCCAAACATCGTTATGCGAAAATCCCCCATAGGAAACCTCGTTAGGTGAAGCGGCAAAATTTCCAGCAAAGGCCATCGTTATGCGAATTCATCGTTGAGTGAGGCACTCGTTAAGCGAGACACCACTGTACATATAGCAGTATTTGCTCTGATGAGTCTGTTGTATGTACACCAATACTTATTTTGTCCTTCCCCATCACTAATACCTCTTTCCATATATTGAACTGCAAGATCCTTGAGATGTGTGAGATGTTACTCTGACTAATATCTGTATTGCTGCAACACAAGGTAATTGGGCCAAGGTTATTTTCAGATTCTGGGTGGACTTAAAAAGTGATGTCACGGCCTTACGAAGGTGGCAATTCTACACACACTCGCCCGGGCTCATTCAAATCTATGGGATTTATTTCTAAGTAGATCTCCATAGTATGGCAATGTAAATGGCCCGAACCACTCTTCTTTTATCTCCCCTATTATCACTCTCACCATTAATAGAGTTAGAAGACTGTAAGACTACTGGTTTTGTACTGCACCTAATGGATAGAGCTAGAACTATATCACTGCTCAGTTTTCACCATGTGTGTAAACACGGTACTTTCTGCAAGAAAATAAAAAACTGTTTGCTCCAAGAAACTTCTAATACAAATTGTAAGGGGGGCGGGGGGTCAACACAGAGGAGAGAAATAGGAGAGCAAGTGTAATACTCCAACATCATTTTAGTTACGGATGGAAACTGAGATTGAAGGTTTAATGGGAATGATGGTTTTGGAAGGGAGATACAGAAAGAACAGAGGAAGAACATGACACCAAACTGGTGTTCCATCAGGAATTTCTAGTCATGGGAGAAATCAAGGGAAAATGGTTTGGACTGTTAAGCTGTTAACTGAGTGCAAGATCCGCTACCAGCCCATATTTGGCTTTGCTGGCCCCATTGATCTCACAGGACTCTGAAATGTCTTCTTGCATTTACCTGAGTTTCTTGCCGTGTGCTGCCCTCCTCCCCATCCTTCTCCAGTTCTTCTTTGCTTGGTGACCTGGATACAAACTTGTTTTTGTTCACAGATTCTTCAACCAGCTTCTTTTCCGATTCTTTCATTATTTCCAGTGTCTCCTGTGTCGTGTTGCTATTAGACATCTTCAGCACAATAGGGCGTTACTGATGGACACCTGCAAGAGGCAATAGAAAGGAAATAAGTGCACCCAAGAATACAGATTATTCTTTCTTTTCTTAAGAGTTGTGCTCTTCTCATTTTTCGTCTTCAACTGAAACCATACTTTGCCAGAGGCCTGATCATTTGCAGAGCCCATCTTGCTATTGTTGGAGACCTGACACCGTACTTTATGCATCTCCTCTTTTCCTGGGGGGGGGGGAGAGATAGCAGGCCCTGTTACATTACGCCATCCAGATATTCTCTGCTTCTCTCCCTGCTTTGCTCCCCATAAAAATAACTCCAACCCAATTGCTACTTTCATTAGTGGAACAGATATATCCATCCCTGTCTGTAAAATATCTCCTTGCACTTGCTACAATCCTGCTCCTGATCAGGATGGTTCATAAAAACTACGCTTCTAATCACATGAAATGCTGTATCATGCTTAGCATATTGTTTGACCTGCAATGGTCAGGCTCATAAGGGGCAAGGATAAGTTTTGATTCCATCCTGAACTGTTCCCAGACTCACTCCTATGATTTAGAAAAACATTTGTTCAGGATCACCATCAAGTCCATTGAGAAGAATACAGATGTTTTTCAGTTAAGGGACACCAGTCACTGTTGTCGGTCTGTTTATGCAACAGAGATGTGTAAGTCTGAGGCACAATCTACAGCTAAAATAGGTACAAAGCTAAAATAGGTACACAGGCCCCCCCCAAAAAAAAGAACAACAAAAAGGAGAGCTGGTCTAGGACAGAAATAAGCTAGTCTTAAAACATGACGATGGAGGATTCTGCGCAACTTAAGTAAATCTAGCTTGGACTTTTCAAGCACACGTATAAGGTCCATGATGGGAGAAGAGGGACTAAGCATTTTATGAAGCCTTGGGTATATAATAGTAAATGGATAACTGACTGTGATAAAAATGAAAACACGAGTCTCGTGATGAACAGAAGGACCAATCTGCAAGGAAACTCACTGCAAGTCATTTGGAGTACCTAATATAGTAAAGCAATTCATAAGCAATGACAAGTATATAGAATTAATTATAATCCAATTATTATAAGTGAGAAGAATCCTCTACCTTCTGAAAAATGTCACTAGCTTCACTAAAATTGTGCAGCATCCTTAACATTGGCTAATTAATATCTGAGCAGAAATTTCTAAATGAATCCCAACATTTCACATTACTTGTGCTGAATCTGTGCAAAGGACTCTTGAAAAATGTTGCCAGTCCTATGTAAGGTACTTCAGTTGAAATTTCTCACGACTTAATTATTGAATAAGGAACATCCAGATTTGCCTTAAGGTTTTGTCTTAGTTGTCATTCAGCAACCAATATAATTGTGTTGTCTAGCTATGTGACATCCTAGTATGCTGTACAGTGTGCATCCATCTGCAACTGTACTACAGGAAAACAGGTGAATGCCAGAAAAAACCCCATGAATTGCAATGACTTGCATAGCTCAGTTTAAGAGGAACACTTTCACCATCTCTAACAGCTTTGTCCATGAGCCCTCCGGTGGCTTATCAATAGACCCTGGTGGTAGCCTGAAGGCAGAGACACCACCTGCCGGCATTGAGGCAGACAAGGAGAGGCGGAGGAGCAACAGCCCCGGGGAAAAAGGGACAAGTGTGACCAGTGGGAAGGAAGGAACAAACACTGGTGGTTGGGAGGAGAAAGGAATAAAGGAGGAAGAGTGGGACCAGTTGGAGATGCCAGAGGAGCAGCTTCACATCTTCTGTGATCTGGGGGATGAAGAGAACAAAGGCATGTACCACCTTAGCCAAAGGCTGGTCCCTTTTGAGGTACCACTGACAGAATCGGAGACCGATGTATTTGGCTCAGCAGCATGAGGAGCAGCTGCAGGAAGAAAGCCAGCTGCCCTATGAGCATACCTGCCTTCTCTAAGGATCGCCCTGTTATTGGGGCTAATGACCCAAACCTGGCCCAGACAGTGGACTACAAATGACTCAGGCTCAGTGACTGTAACTAGGATCTGGACAGGGATGGGACTGGACGAGAAGGAAATGCCAGCATGCTTGTTACAGAAATAATGTTTGTTGTACCAGCTAACCGGTCTGCTAAATCAATGAAGACCACAGAAAATGATATATTCCTGCTGTCCCACAAACAGGAGGGGATGGCTGGTATCACACCCAGCTAAGTTTGAAGAGAGCTTATTTAGAATTTTTTTGTCTATGTAATAATCAGGAGACTGGGAAAAGAAAAGCATAGACAATGTTCAGCAGCATACTTTATTATCAACAGAAAAACAGTCAGATACTATAAAGATTATTGAGTGTTGGAATTGTGTAGGAATTACTAATATTCACAAGTTAATTTAACTTTCTCTTTCATTTGTAGTGGTTCTGAGTACTGAACATACATTATTGCTTATTTTACAGCTTCTGACTGATGAATTAACTATGGAGAATTATCAATTGCTAATCAGAAGTGTGATTTCCAGACAATTACCATTGTACAGGAGGGGTGGATAGAGGGGGGGAGTGTGTCTCGATTAGCTATTATGTTGTTAGGTGAATAAGACTTGACAAATTGGGGGCCATGTTCTTATATAATTAACAGAGGATGCACAGAAGATTGGCTACTGTATTGCATGTTAAGCAGTAAATAATATTGTCATAATCAGGGTGATTTAAAAGGAAGAATAATATATGTTAATGCATGAAATAGCAATTCTAATCCAAATTACTAGTTGTGTATGGAACTAATGAATATTAGTTGCTCAAGCTTAATTAAGACAGAGAATGATAGTGCAATTGCATATGCAAAGCAGAAAACCATCCAGGACTGAGAGTGTGCTGATTCTATAGAACTAAGAGTGTACAAAACTATCCATAATGTGACAGCCCCCTTAGCATACCCCAAGAAAGTGGGTGTTTTGCTCCAGGCTCTTCAGAAATAAATTATGTTCTCTGCATGCACAACACAAACACCAAATTCAACTTACTTATAAGAGAATAAGTTACTTATGCACAACACAAACACCAAATTCAACTTACTTATAAGAGAATAAGTTACTTATGCACAACACAAACACCAAATTCAACTTACTTATAAGAGACGGGGCCAGCAGATTCAGAGATACCAATTTATATATTATGACTTCTATGAGTAACACAGAGAGGAAAGGATATGAACTGTGTGGTTCAGAGAACTTAGGCTTCATAAGGCATTTTGCCTTAAAAAAGAAATATTATCATTTTTGCACCATAGAACAAAAGTGATATCTAAAATTTAAAAATAAGAAAAGACTGCTGAGAAAATGTGAAGATCTGAGAATAGTGGGCAAGTAAAGAAACTAGTGAAGAGAAGAGAAAGCAAAGTAAGCAGGGACAGGGCAGAGAAGTTAAACAAAAGGGAAGACAATCTGTTTTCGGAGTGGTGCTGGGATGACTCAGTGCATCCCAGTATGTCCAGCAATAAATGTTCTGCCCATTGTGGCACACCAATAACAGGATGATATACTCAAATCCATAACAACAACAAAAACGCCACAAGGAAACAGATCAACAACAGAATGAACAAGGACAATGCCACCATGTGGATGAGCCCTCTGATGCATGAAAATCCATTCTCCAATCTTGGTTTATGTTAGACTGTAGTTTACCTTTGTCTAAAACCAGGATGGATTTGATTTAAATCAACTGCCCATGCAATTTACTTCCACACATTTCCTTCTCCCCCCCCCCCGCATCTTTTGCTATCTGGCCTGATGAACTCAAAACCTTCAATATTTTGTACATTTATAGTTGATCCTAATAAAGGTACTGCCCATCTGTGGATACAGAATTTTGTTTTACTCCTACGAATTAAACCCAGCCTCCTCTCTTCTTTGGACTGCAGTAGGTATCCCTCATGTTTAAAAAGACTTCAAACCATCCTTATGCAGTTGACAACGTTTTTGACTTAGAATGATCTCTTATTAAGCTATTACTGCTATAATAATTCCAAAATGTCAGGCTCAGCAGGAAAACATACAAATTGATGGTTGTATTTTTATATGGTTACTGAGACATCCTGGTACAAAACTTCCTTAGCTCACTGCCTGAGGAACTTCCACCACAGACCCAGTTCAGCAATACTGTTTCACCCTTTAAAAACACAATTGTTTCCAACCCTCAGCAATACTAAGGGTGGCTGAATCCAAAAACAGGGATTTCACAATAGGTTCTTCTTAAAATGAGAAAAGTGCATTTACCTCACACTGAAGAGATATTTCAACCCCATTCTGTCTCTATTACTGCCACTGCTAAGTTTGTTTCTGTAACAGAGAGACTGAAAAGATAGTCATAAATCCCACAAGCAATTCTCTAGGCAGTGTGCCATGCAGAACAGCAAACTGAGGAGGCAGAGTTCAGCTAAGGCTCTTCCATCGTTGACAGGCACAGTGGACTAAAAATCACTAACTGGAAAAGAAAAGATACAGTTCATCAATCCCAGGCTGTGCCTTGCCAACCAACATCAGTTTGTTGTATCCCACAGTTCAATCACAGGATAGATTCACAGGATTTTACTCCTGTCATAGCCTGAAGGTGCAGCAGAAGATGAGCAGGAGAGACCAAGTGTCTCGCCTCCCGGAGGCCTATAGTCCTTTCATCATTGGCAGCATGACAAACGATAATGGTCCACATCAACAACTATTTGGAGGTGGCTTCTCTGTCCCATAATCCTGTGCGGGAGGCTAGGGAACAGGGGTGCCAACAAAATATTCTTGGACAGTCAACTCCATCGTCTACAGCCAGCACAGTTCATGGTGAGAGTTCTTGAGAGCTGGGGTCCAACAACATCTGGAGGGCAATACCCTGTTTCCCCAAAAATAAGACCTAACCTGAAAATAAGCCTTAGTAGGATTCTTCAGGATGCTCGTAATATAAGCCCTACCCCAAAAACAAGCCCCAGTTAAGTGAAACCCCGCCCTCCAACCTTGTGCCACATTGTACAGCAACCAGAAAATGGCATGATTGGAAAATAAAACATTCCCTGAAA